TTTGAACCAATCACCAGGAGATGGTGAGTTCTAGTCCTGCCTTAGGCCCGAAAACCAAGTGGGTGTCTTTGAACCAATCACCAGGAGACAGTGAGTTCTAGTCCTGACTTGGGAATGAAAGCCAGCTGAGTGACTTTAGATCAGTCCCTCTCCGTCAATCAAACCCATTTCACAGAATTGTTGTGGTGGGGAAAAAAGTAGTAGTATATATGTATGTATGTATGTATGTATGTTCACCACCTTGAATTATTTATAATGCAATAAAGGTGGGATAAAAATTTAATCATTAAATAATACATCCGCAGGAAGCTTAAAGCTACTTTTGAAAGTAAGTGTAGGAACAGGATCTATGTACACAAATCTGATTGGGCTATGCTTCCTCCTAACGGTTCACTGATTGGGGAAGGGAGGGAGGGACAAATTGGGATATGGGATGGGTGAAGGAACCGTGGCTAAAATCCAACTGAATAAATTTGACCTTCTAGCTAAAGATTAAAGTCCCAAATAAGGGACTTATGTTGAAATTCGGAACTCTGCATTTAGACCAGGTGTGTCCAACCTTGGCAACTTTTAAGACCTGTGGATTTCAATTCCCAAACATCTCCAGCCTGCAGGAGGAATTCTGGGAGTTGAAATCCACAGCTGGACATCCCTGATTTAGACGGTCTTGTAAAAGGAAAAGGATTATCTCCCACTTCTGTGATATGATTCGTTTTTTGCATTTGCATGATTAAGGATGTTCCAAAAGCTTTGAGCTCTTCAGAGTTATTTTGGAAAGCTGTCTGTTGGTGCCATCTTCAGGCTTCTTTTTTTTATAGTATATTTTTATTTTTTTCTTAATATAAAATGCAAAAGTGGAAAAAAGGGGGAAAAAAAGCTGATAGAGGAAAGAATGGGGAGAGGGGAAAATAAAACAGAATAAAAAAGCAGCGACTTCATACATAATGATTTTACAGTATCAACTTACACCAAATAGTAACTACTAACAACTTCTATAACAACAACTATCATCAGGCTTCTCACCATTTCTTGACCAGAAGATGTAACCAAGTGTCTTTATTTCACATCACCTTTCAATTGTCACTCAATTGTGTACTGAGGAAAGGAACCATGTAAATGCATTAAATAAATGGATAAAGATGGGCAGAGCCCTTCCCCTGGCTGGGGATGAATGGTTGGGCAGTGGCAGGTGTTTTATTTTTATATGCAGTATATTTTCTTCATATTTTCTTTTACGGTAAAGCACCTAGAACAATTGAGCATCAGGAACAATTGAGATGGGCACACGTGGAAGGAAGGAAAGAGAAAGGAAGAAAGAAGGAAGGAGAGGAAAAAGGGAAAGAGAAAGGAAGGAGAAGAGAGAGAAAGGAAGGAAGGAAAGAGACAGGAAGGAAGGAAAGAAAGGAAAAAGAGATAGGAAGGCGGGAGAAAAGAGATAGGAAGGAAGGAAAGATAGAAAAATGGAAGAAGGAAAGAAAGGAAAGAGAAAGGAAGGAAGGAAAGAAGGAAGGAGAGGAAAAAGGGAAAGAGAAAGGAGTGAGAAGAGGGAAAGAAAGGAAGGAGAAGAGAAAGGAAGAAAGAAAG